ATATATTTTTTTCCAAAATTTTTGTGTTTTCTTTGTTAGGTCGGGTACTTCTGGGACCATCCTCGTAGTATAAGATAAATAGAATAGTCTAATACGAGGTGCCATATAACAAAGAAACAAATTCATAACAATAATTATAAGGTTCAGTGTCAAGCTAGCTGTGATTTAATTTTAGTTTAAGAATACAACATGAAATTAGTGTTATGAGAGGTAATGCACAATTATTGGATAAAATTCATTTTCATTTTCGAAGAACTAATGCTTGCGTTTAAGAACAAGGAAGTAACTTTGAGCATTTAATGTAATATTATTTAAATGTGATTACAAACATCAATTTAGGTTTATTTAAAATGTTATGTTGATTTTTTTATATTATTAGTTGATACTGTTTATATAAGATATTAGTGTTGATTTTTATTTTATTGGTTGATAATACTAATACTAAAAATGTGTAGTCGTTTTTTTAATGTGACGTTTTTTCATTATTATTACCTGTTTTGAGGCTGCAGTTATAAATTATTTTTTACAAATCGGAATTTTCGCCTATAAGTATTTAATGTATCAAAATTTTGTAAGAGGCAAAAAATCTTCTAAATTAATGCTTATTTTTAAAATTACAAATTCTTCTAATTAATTCTGTCATCATTGGCGCACACACAAAAAAGTTACGGGATAGCCAGTGGCGTACAGGCACTAGAAAGAGAACATCCTGTATATGTATTCTCACCAAATTCTATATTTACCTTGCCCTTACATAAAAAAAATAAGTGTATTAAATGAGAAGTTTCTAAGAAAAATAGTTTTCAAATTATTTGAAAAAAACTAGGTTACTATTCTATATTTAGAAGGCTATATCTCAGTAGGCGTGCACATTTGTATATAGGTAAGTTAGGCTAAATAGTCATATTTTCATCAAAGGAACCTGTGGTCAAGCGTTGTCCATCCTTTTCAGAGACACCCTGTATAATAAAATTTTTTTATAACAAAATATGTACAAATTAGACGATATTCGAATTCCTTGGCTCGCGAGACATCGGATTAAAAAAAAGATCGAAATTGGTCCATTAGAAGCCGAGATAATGCAATTTTTTTTTACTTTCGTATTTTGAACCTCCGAATTCAGTCTCGGAGAGAAAACCCCCTTCTCACTTTTCGTGTTTTGAGTCACTTTTCGCGCGTGCGAGCGACAACTTTTCCGATTATTTATCTATATTGCCGATAACTGATGGATATGAAAATTTTTTCTAGTTTAGAACCCGGAAAAACGAAGCCACTGGATCAAAGATTATTGCTAAATTGTTTATAAATTAACGGTAAATGCCGATAAACTTTGACCGGCTTATATCTCGTGAACCAATACACGAAATTTAACTTTACTTTTTAAAAGAAGCGTCTTTCCGAGTACTTTAAAATTATAATTTTTGAAAAAAACTAAATAAATAAATTGTTTAAAAATAAAAAGTGTTCATTTTAAAAATTTACTGTGGCCGTCCTAATCAACCGATTTCAATTTTTCAAAAACCATTTGAAAGGCTGAGCGGTCTTTTCTATGGGAAAAGTTTTTCAAGTATCTAGATGCTTTATTTGATGCTGTGCAACATTTTGAAAACTCGAAATTTTTTTTCAAAAAAAATTATTTCGCGAAAACTATCGAACCGATTTTAATGAAATTTAGTGTGTTGTTTTATTATACTCTAAAGTTTTTTTTTACCAAAATTAGAATGCCCTCAAAGCAATTAAAATATTAAAAAAATTATCCAAAAAACTTTATTTTGCCTTTTTTTCATCAAATATTGCTATTTTGCAACATCGGTAATAAATTTAAACATTTTTAACTTCCAGTATATTGTTTATATCAATTCTAAAACTTTTTTCCTTTTCAATATTCTTCCAAAATGCGTAGGTTCCAAGATATAAGTAAAAACTCGGATAAAATAGGTATTTTTTAAAAAATTTTAAACATTTTTGCAATTTTGAAAATGTTCCGGACCTCGCCCAGATCTAGGGATCTCCACTTTTATTGTGTGAGTTGTACTGAAGGTATTCCAGAAAAAATTAGCTTGGCCCCTCTTACATCCAAGAAGTGTGATATTTCGACAGGTCCGCTCGAATCCAACAGAAAACAGTGTTGCAAGCAAGTCTAAGTGACCAAAGTGTTAGTACCAAAACCTACCCCTACAAAGGCGCCAGACAAGTCACAAGTCTACTAAGCAGGAGTCTGTCTGGTTTTCTAAGTAATATTCAATTGTCATCTCCGAGGCTACAATGGTTACGACTAGACACCACAAAGAGCAGAGGGTATGAACCAATTTTTTCGGTGGCGACCAGGTATAAATTGGTCTTTGGTGCAACTTCATCATAAATGACATTTACTGTATCATTTCTATTTTGATGATCGAGCTTGACCTGCAAAACTGTTTGATATTTACTGTCGAGTTTTGTTTGAAATAAATAATATCTGGACTGCATTTGCATTTTTATTTTCAAAGGGACAAATCGCTAAGATGTATGCAGGAAACGATCCCGAGGAAGTCTACGGGCTGACCACTAATAGTTTTTGAAGTACGTCTTTGTAAAATGCAGGCATTTGTGTGCACCCTTTTGAATTTCCATAGAAATCGGGCCCTTTGTCCTTTATTTTCCACAGACATAATCAATGTGGCAAAAACAAAGTGACGCATACGATAAAAAAGCGCAAGAAATTAGTAATCCACCGGCGTGTTTTATATTTGCACATTATACATATGCGAAAGAGGTTTTTTTTTCTTGATATCATGAACACTGTACTTTTAAATGTAACAGATCGTAAACCGCGATAGGAGGCACAATTAAAAATAAAAAATTACCAAAGCACGAAACAAAGCGAGATACTATCTTGGAATTATACAAATTACAGACCTCTGGCGGCCGTTTTTTTTTTTTGTAAAAATTGGTTCGACCCGTTTAAAATAAAATGCATTCGAAACGGCAGGATAAGTTTTTACATATTTTATTAAAGCTATTAAAATCCAAAATTAATTTTCAGGCTTCATGCATTTTATCAGAGGAAACGGAACATTCATCATTTAAAACAATTTGTAGACATTAGTTGATTAAAAATTATGTAAATTCAATTCGAAATTATAATATTCACACAGTTTTGAATGCATTAATTTACCTGGACTGTTCAAACGTCAGCTTTGTAACTTACAACACAAAACAGTGCATTTTTTAATTTACACAGTGTCTCAAAATTTCGTGTATAAGGATTTGCAACAGCAAAATTTGTCAAAATAGCAAAACATTTTTGTTTTTCCAACGTTATATCAGAATTATACGAAATTTAATGTGCAAATACTTGAGTACATACAAGGTACACACAATTTTTTTTGGCAAAACCGATTTATTTATTTCAAAATAGTCCCCTCCGATTTGCACAGTTTAAAAGCATGTCGAATAAGTGTTTTAGATCGTCGATCAGGATTTCCTTCAGGATGTCGGTACAAGCGTTTTGGATAGCTTCTACATCCACAAAACTCTTCCCTTTCATCGGCAAATACATTTTTCCGAAAAGATAAAAGTCGCACGGTACCAAATCAGGCGAATACGGGGAGTGATTGACAGTTAAAAAGCGATTTTTAGTCAAAAAATCGGTCACCAGTGTCGATCGATTAGATGGCGCATTATCGTGCAACAAACGCGAACTTCCTTCTGCGCGATATTCTGACCTAATACGACGAATACGATGCACCAATTGTTTCAGTTTTTTGGGTTTTGTCTCGTCTGGCGTCTTCTACTCGGCACTTTGGCGTTTGGTTTTTGAATCATATTGAAAACACCACGTTTCATCACGATGTTGTAAAGGAAGTATTTATATCTTTTGACTTCCTTGATGATGTCCTTGTAATGTTGAATTCTGAACAAATCGGCCAAAATGCGAAAAATTTATGTTTTTGAGATTCCACGAATTTCAATGAAAAATTTGGCTGATTTTTGATGAATTCACGCAGTTTTGATGGACGGAATATTGCTCATCATTTACATCCTCACGATCGTTTTTAACTTTAAACTCATAAACTTTGCTACGGGATAAACAATCATCACCATAAACTTAGTTCATCAATTGAAACGATCCCGTAAAAGTTTTTCCAAGTTTAAAACAAAACTTAATATTAGCTCTTTGTTCGATACTCATTTGTGTAAGAATGATACTGTCACCTCAGACACAATAGCTCCGCTTCTATTCGTCCCAATGTCATAAAATTTTGACAGTACATCAGTGAAGGATCTACCAAAAAAATAAAAAAATCGTTATTCATTTTCAAGAAAAAAACTGAAATAAAATTTTTGGAATTTTGTATTTTTACATTTAAAATTGTTTTATTTTAATTTATAGCATGTGCTAACCACTAAGAAAATTTTCATACATCAAAACATTAATTATTATTAAACTACAAGAAGGTTTCTATTTCAGATGATAAAAACAATAATAAACGAAACGTAAAGAAGGTTGAAGATCTTATCATAATTTTTATAAATTCCATTGCATCCCATTCCATTTTACCTTTTTGTTTGATATCATTTTATCGGAAATGTGTTATTGTTGAAACCATTTTCAATTGTATTAAATATTCATTCTACTTACAATCAAAGTGTAACTTTTACATTTATCAATTGTTCATTATGGTTTATTCGTTAGCTGAAAAAGTTGAAATAATTTTTCTTTATGGAAAACAAAATAAATGTGCTAGACAAACTGCTCGAATTTTCAATGAGTTGCATCATCAAACAAGTCATACGTACGGAAGCCAGATCGTTAACAATTTCGAGAAATTTCGAGAAACTGCAAACAATATCTGCTTCATTGATGAGTTTTTTCTCAATGGTACAGTGAATAGGCAATCGTTATTGGTCGGGTGAAAACCCTCATTGTATTACGGAATCGCACACTCAGTATCCAGATGAGCTGAACGTCTGGGCAGGAATATTGGATAATCAGATAGTTGGTTAATTTTTTTTAGATGGCACTTTGACTGGAGCCAGCTATTTACGTTTGTTGGAAGATCATATTGATCCCATGATCACAGAAATTCTGGAGAATGATGATCAGCTGGATGAAAATTTTGTGACGTTCCAACAGGACGGAGCTCCACCTCAATTTGAGCGACGAGTTCGGGCTTATTTGGATCAGAATTTTCTAGGGCGATGGATAGGTAGGCGTGGGGCTATAGAATGGCCAGCTCGGTCTCCCGATTTAAGTCCAAACGACTTTTTTCTCTGGGGATATCTCAAATCAGTGGTTTTTGCAAGTCAACCCGAAAATCTTGAAGATTTAAGACAACGTATTGTAAACGAATGTCGGAATTTAACTCCAGAGATTTTTGCAAATGTAAGATGTTTCGTAGACAGGCTCCATATTTGCCAAGAACAAATGGGTGCACAATTTGAGCATCTATCATAAACAATTTCAAATGTAAAAATACAAAATTCCAAAAATTTAATTTCAATGTTTTTTTCTTGAAAACGCATAATTTATTTTTTTTTACGGATTCAAAGTCAGTATCAAAAGAGCTTTCAAACGAAGTATCACACGCCCTGTAGTGCCATCTGAAATTTTAAAGTTGATACCTCGATCTACAAAGGGGTGGCAACTGCAAAATAAGTAATGATGTAAGAAATTAAAAATCGACGTGTTTTTGAAATTTTTTCAAAACTTCGTATTAAGCGAAGTGTTCAGGTGGAAAGTTTTATATGGGACACCCTCTATAGATGTCACATTTTGAGGTACTAACCCAAGTAATGAAATTTACAGAAATTGGAACACTATTCGTTGCATTTATTTTTTTCTCATTGTCTCATAAGATCAAAAAGGTTAGAAGAGAAGGAAGATTTACCTACACTAAGCAATTTTTCTGTTTATTGCAAAAAAAAAAATAGACAAAGAACGGACGACACGCCGTTTACTACCACAAATATGCATCTCTTTTTATGCAGTATGTAAACCGGGGTCGATTCCAGAGGTTGTCAACAGGTTTTAACAATTTTGATTATTATTAATTTTAAACATCGTATTGCAGTTACAACTATTTTGATTATTGAAAATGCTTTTATTGATGCATTCTATTTACAACTTCAGTTCAATTCATATGAATTTGTTTGTTTTAAATTTTTCGTCGTATTTAATTATATTACGTTGGTGGTATTCTACACAAGAAACTAAAAATTTAACGGTCAAAGAGTATCCGTTTTGGTCAGTTTTTTTCGTTGCGCTGTATCATCGCCAAAAAATGGGTTTTTAATAGGCGCAGTACCTTCCACGTCGAAGCCTACTTGGATTTTTCAATAGGAACTACAAATCCGTAACTAATACAATTATAATGTGTGATATAATAACGATTTCCCTTAACCAGCCAGATCCGCTGAAAAATTAGACAAAGGGCGCTACCTAAATGTTGACAATGATGTATAATGGTATCTAGCTGGCATAATAGCATTTCTAGTCGAGTTGAAAGGGTGTATTGGGGATCGGAGGAACGGCGGGGGTCCCCACATATAGCTTACGGATCATTACCCACAGGTGTAATGGTGTCTCTCCATCTAACAAAATGTCACTACATAACTGTTGATAACCGAAGGTTTAAATCTGAATATTATGCAAAATTCTTGCATTGTTTAGCCCCGCGTTTGAGTTTTATTGAGAAATTATACTAAATCCCCTCAAAATGCCCTTGGTTTTGGTCAGTTGGCAGGGAATATTAAAAAAGGGATTTTTTGTGCTCTCTAACTGAAATCAGTTTTTATGCTGCACGTTAAGTTTTATGCGGGGATAGTAAGGCAAAAATCCTGTTGTTATTCTGAATAATTTTGAACACTTTGAGTCGAAAATATATGCAATATTCCCTTCATTCCACTCATTGTTTGTACTTGTACAGGGTGATTTTTATGATAAAGTTTTTTACAAACTAATATCTTAAGATGCTGTCTAAAGTTAATTATTTATGGCTTTAGTTTCTGTTCTGTTTATTTTGGCAGTTTGCCATTTGCACAAAGGTAAAAAATTAAAAATAAACCCTAGTGCTGAAAGAACCAGTACACAGCCACACAAAAAAAAGTTGTCTGTACTTTTCATGCGACATATGTTATCTGTAGTATTTTTGCCTCCTAATCACGAATCCGGTGTAAGAATTGAGCTATCACATCACAGGAATTTCCTAACAGCAAAAAACAGGTCAAAAATACCAAAAATTTACAAAAAAGTGCTAGGAAAAATACAAAAAATTGCTCTATATTTATGCATATTTATATGGTTGAGATTCCGCCGAACGTGAATCTGCTGTCAGAATTGATGATTCTTTTTCTAACTTCAAAAAAACAGGTCAATTGAGGTCAGATATATAATAACAGATTTGCGCCAAATTTAGTACACGGGGTCGCTGGTCACGAATCCGAGGTCAATTTTGCAAAATTCAAGATGGCGGATCCAAGATGGCCGCCCAAATTTAAATCAAAATTTCATCAATTACCTATGTACTTTAAGAAGGTTAAAACATGATTGGGTACTCAGGTTATACAGTAAACAAAAATATTACAAAATGAATTTCGCAATTCTGACCTCGAGCAGCGGCCCCGATAACCCTCGTATACCAAATTTCACAAGAATGTTTTATTTTTTGAAAATTTGGTCGGCCATCTTGGATGCGTCATCCTGAATTTTGCAAAATTGACCTCGATCCGTGATCAGCGACCCCGATAACCCCCGTATACCAAATTTGGCGCGAATGTTATTTTTTGAAAATTCGTGATGTCTAACCTTAATTGACCCGTTTTTTTTTTAGGTTAGAAAAGAACCATCAATTCTGACCGCGGATTCACATTCAGCAAGGTCTTAACCATATAAATAAACATTTGAATATAGAAAAAAGAAAAATTCAGTATTTTTCGTGAATTTTTGCTATTTTTGACCTGTCTTTTGAGGTTAGGAAATTCCTGTAATGTGATACAGGTAGCTCAATTCTGACACCGGATTCGTGATCAGGAGGCAAAAATAGTACGGATAACATATGTTGCATGAAAAGTACAGACAATTTTTTTGTGTGTGGCTGTGTTATTATTTGCTATTTTGTAAAACTATGTTTGCCTAGCTAACACCGAAAAAAGATGACAAATAAAAAAAAATATACGTCACTAAATCACACACTCAACGTTTCGAAAATCCACAATCTGTTTCGTTCCTAATACTAAGAACAACATGGTGATGATAACGTATGGAAAAGCTGTTGAAAACTGCTAGTTAACTAAACATCTTCATGTACGACGATTTTCAAATAGGCAACACTGGTAAATAGAGTTATAGGTCAGAGTCATCGGTTCCAAAAATGTTTTCATCGTATCAGCGTGGTAAGCCAATAGATATCAAAAATATATTTTATTTGCATAAAATAACTTCTGTAATAAAGTTTTCCCACCTTAACAAATAAAAAATTTGCGAATACTCTTGCGAAATGGTCATGTAGTTATATAATAAGCAGGAAAAGAAGTGTATCAAATACGAACTTAGAATAAGTAACAATATCTATTAATAAAATAATATAAATATCATATGATATACCCTCAATAACCAGTAAACAGCTAGTAACAAATAATTATCCGAAATAAACACTCAAAATGATATGTCTAAATATAACTAATACAAAAACACATATCTGATGTACTGAAATTGTTAAATAATGCAATCATTAAAAAAATATCCTGTATTCTTGCTGTTATATTATCACTTTTGACAAAGACTAATCACGTAAAAAAATAATTACTACAAACAGATCCTTTGTTTCTGTATTTTACCTGTAATGAATCGATTAATATATTAACAATATCAGCAGTTAGGGATCTTTTCCGTGGAACTAGATATATTTTGATTTCAGGTATCGAAGAACATTGTTGGTTTTGGGGTGGCTGAATCCGAATCCGGTGTCCGTTTGATACGATTAGCTCTGGTTTAAAAGTCAGTTCAAGGTCAAATGTAGAGAATCGATTGCCAACAAAGTAAACCAATATATCTAAACATTTTTGGGGACGCCGAAACCGAATCCGATGCCCGTTTAACCCGATTAGCTCTGGGATACGGTCAGTTCAAGGTCAAAAGTAGAAAATCAATTGTCAACAAACTAAATCTACGTATCTATACGTTTTTGGGGTCGCCGAATCCGAATCCGGTGTCCGCTTGACTCGATCAGGTCTGGTTTAAGTTCAGTCCAAGGTCAAATGTAGAGAATCAATTGCCAACAAAGTAAACCAATATATCTATACGTTTTTGGGGTCGCTGAATCCGAATTCGGGGTCTATTTGATCCGATCAGTTAAACACTCTCAAGTCTAAACTCAAAACAATCAAAGTAAGCATTTATGGGTAAGAAAATTTGAGTCACAAAGAAGATTAAAGAAAGAAAACTTTAACTATGAGTCCGTGACTCTCGAGTTAATTGTTTTGACATGACGTCTGATCGAGTCAAACGGACACCGGAATCGGATTCGGCAACCCCAAAAACCTATAGATATATTGGATTACTTTGTTGGCAATTGATTCTCTACATTTGACCTTCAACTGACCTTAACCCAGATCTTATAGGGTCAAACGGACGCCGGATTTGGATACAGCGACCCCAAAATAATATAGATATGTACGTTAACTTTGTTGGTAGTTGATTCTCTACATTTGACCTTGAACTGACCTTATCCTAGAGCTAATCGGGTCAAACGGACATCGGATTCGGTTTCAACGACCCCAAAAATGTTTAGATATATATGTTTTTTAAGACTTATTAAAAGTAATTCTAATCAGGCGCGGATCCAGGGGGCAGCGACGGCCCCCCAAATGGTCCGGAAAAAATCAAAGTTCAAACAGAATAAATTAATAAAGATTAAAGTTGTCCTGCTTAAACACGCCTCAGTTTTCTTGACTCCATAACTTTTTTTTAATAAATTAAACGAATACAAATTTTCTGGTTAAAAATATCTTAGTTTTCTTGATTGCATATCTTTTTTTTACAAACGCATACCCATTTGTTAAGCGTGTCCTTTCTCTTATTTATAATGCCCATTTTCCGTGCCCATTTGAAAATATTATCTTCCACCTTGTTAGACAACAACTTTTTAGTAACCCACTGTTTTGCTTCCTCAAATGAGAGGCCATCAAATAATGTCCCAACTGGTAATTTCGGTCGAACAGCCACGTTAAAACAATAATTCAAATCGGATTTTTAACGATCCAAACTGGTAGCTCTATCGAAAGTGTGTCAATGGTCGCTGATAAAAAATGAAAGTTGGCGTGAAAACGGCCAACTAGTCGATAATGCGTTTTTTATCATCGCCGTAGTAAAAATGTAAACCATCCAGGAAGTGAACGAGGAGAAAAGTAGAATTTATCGAACAATACTTAATTCCATGGGTTTAATGTCCATCGTCCGCAAGTTCCAGTAAATAAAACATGGTGTAGCCCGAGGCACCTCAGCCAAGTGGCGCCTACCGTTTAGAGGTTAAAGCAATCCTTACCGTGTTCCATGTTCTTCTAGTCTCGCTCGTTTTGTCCGTCCGTTGTCATTGCGACAGACTATTAAAAATCCAATCATTGTTGCTTCTCCTGTACCGTCTATTATTTGTAAAGTGGAGGATTTCAACTGGCTCTAATTAACGCTACCTTCCAGGGAATAATTAATAGACATTATCTTCGATTTCATCAAATCCAATTCATTGCTAGGCATTTCTCTTTACCCAGAACGTGTTTTCGTCCTACATAAATTAAAAACAATTATGTTAATGGCCCGTAATTTGTCCATTCTCTATAAATCACATCCCTAATAATAAAAGTAAACGAGTACCACTAACGCTCATAAAAATTTTGTGTAAAATAACACATTACATCTTTTTCACAGTACAACTACATTAACCATGTAATTTCACACTTTGCAATTCACTCAATACAAATCGGTATGTGTATATTTACATCTAAAGTGTAATTCGATTAAAAAACAGGGAAATTACAGAGAGTGAAAGCAATAAAGGTTCGAGTGAAATTATTGAGTATATGTTCACTCAATATTGGGCATTTTGATGATTTAACTCATTTGTGATTATATTTAAACTAAAACTGAGTACTTTCACTCAAATATAGATACTCCTTAAATAAATTCTTCACGTAAATTCGTATTTCCTGCACTTGTACCTAAATCAGAGGAAATTACCTCATTACTGAGTGAGTTTAAATGTACATCAATTTCGAATAATTTGAAAGACGCCGTGAAGATGACACCACTTACATATTGCTTCTGTAATCTCGACCACAATTGATAGGGGCCCCTTAGATGCACCAGAAAAGCGTGATCGCCAGGAGAACAGGCCTGGCCGCTGGCGGCGGCGGGTCTCAGCTGGCGGGTCTCAGCCAGGACAGAAGGAGGCCCCACGAAGTGAATTAATTTCAACACCGTATATTCTAATTAATCATTTGCACTCAATATTCAGTTAATTAAAAACCAAGTCTGAGTTAAAATTGGTTTTATATGCTCATAATAGAGTCAAAAGTCGCTCAATTGATAGTTAGCAGTTAACAGTAACTCGGGTTTGAGTAAAACTCACTCACTCCAGATGCAATAGTTTCACTCAGTTGTACTCATACTAATAGAGCGAAAATTTCACTTAATCGGGTGTGGGCAGAAATTGACTGAAATTGAGTGAAATTTTTTTACAGTGTACATAAAAGGTTAGGAGTTACATATTTCAAAATTTAACTAAAGTAGTCTCTAAACAAGTCAACCCTTTCTTGATTCATGTACATGTTTTTCATAATATCACAATATAGCACAGAAACTTGCAAATGAAAACACAGAATTGCTTTTTTTCGTTTACCATCCGGTCGTGTCATACTAAGTGCGAAGTCAACTGGTAGTAGCAGCTTTTCAGAGGCGGCAATACGGCATTTTAACTGAACAGGGGAGGCTAGCCTCCGGTGCTTTACGTAAGCTTTCGAAACAGGATCGGATTCTGATTAAATTTAAACTATTTTTTTTAAAACAATAGAATGTTTTTTTAATGTTCGGCGCTTTGTCCACATTGATACCGAGAAAATATGGTGACTTTAAAATAACATGTAAAATTCTAATTTCGGATGGACCGGTTTATGGCGCCCAAAGCCCACAACAATAACATATTAGAAATAGTTTATCGAAATACCAAAACAAAGACATTAACGGTTGAAAATCCCTTTCATAGTTTTAAGGGGGGAAAATTTGCATAACAATGCTGTTTGTAAAATTAAATACATTTATTTTGAAGAAAATATTAATAAACACTTCTCTAACTGCGTCCATTTTTTGTATATTAAGGCCAAGAATTTCAGGGAAGTGATTTAGGATGTTTAGAGAATATAAAATTTACCAATACAATTAATTTTGTTCCTCAGTTTTCAGAGCTTAATTATTTTCATTCCTTCTCCCTGTACATATAAATATATACTCGTAAAGCGTATATGCTTCCTGTATCTCTGAAAAATCTGTAAGAACGCATCAAACCGACCCTCGACGAGATCGTGAAATAAAATGGCACAAAGCTGCTAATTCAGACATCCAGGTGTTTTGATAATAGCATGTGCAACAATTTGGTTCAATAATAAATCACGCATCGCGCACAATAGTAACCAGATAATGAAGCTTTATTCAAATTTGTCAACAATATGACCACACCACCGTGACACCATCAGAAACAGGCTCTAAGTACCACCCCTATCACTCTACATACTGTGTGTATAGAATCGCAACACTCGCACTTCACAAAAAAAAATGGGAATACAGGATGACAGGACATTATTATTAAACTCAACACCTGTTGGATGAGTCCGCTAGAACGCTTACTTTTTCCGTTGGAATTCATTCAGTCAATGCAACAAAGCTGGAATCGTGTAAAATAAAACACAATGGGATTCTTCCCCTGTATCACCAGAGGGTATCAAATAGGTCATTAGTGTTTTTTTTAATGAAATTCACATACAGTGACATGGATATTGTTAAAAAGATTTGGGTTAGGTACAAAACAATTTTTCAAATATCCACGAGAACGCAGTAACACGGACGCATATGTTTTCGGGATCGCTGATTACGAATCTGAGGTCAAAAATATAATTTGACAGTTGACAGCTGCCAAAACGGATAATCTTACTAGCAAGGGTTTTTGACATCGCTGAACCCGATATCAAATATGCCTCTTCACAGTTGACAGCTATCATATCGATGCTGTCAAAATGACAGAATGATTTGGTTTTTTGAGCAAGTCATTTTCGAAGGTTTTTAGAAGTGGCAATTCTAAATTTGATGTTGAAAGTTACTCTTGACAGCCGACAGCAGTCATATCCAGACTGTCAAAACAAAAAAAATCGATTTTGTCAAAATGAAAATACCCAAAATGGTATTTGACCTACAATTCTTTCTAGAAACTAGGCACATAATGGAGGAGCATCGGCTTCTTGCACCCGGGAATTACTGAATAAAGCATGACAGACCCCGGCGCTGAAAGTTTGAGTGCGTCGCTGTCATACTTGTCTCTGTGTTTGCTGAGACCAATTTCAACAGTTTCCTGTAAAACAGCTTTTGGTTTAGATTAGTTTTTGTGAAATGGTATGGGGTACTTAGGTACCATTATTAATGTTTTATGTATTTTGTGTTGAAAATCATTAAATATTATTAAAACTTAAGAATAATATACAGGCTGTTACAAATTCGCTTCTCACTACAGAGATCTCGGAAACGGTAGGAGATACGAAGTAGCTTAAATGGAGGAAAAGTTGCGTAATCAGGGAACCAACATTATGACTCTAAAAAATCAAGGCCAACTTGATTAGTTTTCGAATTATTTCTTAAAAATGCATATGAACAACCAAAACCCGAAATAAATACTATACTTTAAAAAATTACAGTAAATGTTCAAAAACGTTTCCGTTTTGGCAAATGTTGAAAAAGAAGACAAGCATAATATGATTGGAATTTATTATACATGTAACCGCAGCTGTGAAAGAGCATGTCAGATGTATTTGTATGAATATCCTGAAAAAAATTAGATTGAAAGTTGTTTGAATTTTGAGCACTCGAGAAATCTAGAAACAACTATGAGCACGGGATTAAAACTCTAATAATGTTTTATGGTAACGTGTGATAGTAATAGTTTAAATAACTAGGTGGATTTCACAGGATATAAAGACACTTAGAGTGTACGATAATTCAAGAAACATAAAAATCTAAAAAAAATTGAGATAAATTTGGAAGGAATACATTGAAGATGAATTTTTAGAGACAAACCGTCTGAATCTGGTTCAAGCTGAGGCAGTACAGTATTGGGGGTCATGAAGGCTTGCAAAAAATGTAATAAAATTTCAAGGGTCGTATTTAAAAAAATGAAGTTGATGATGGTCCTAGGGAGACGAAATGTTACATATAAAAATTGATTATGATATTGATAGAGGGCAAACAGTTGCCGTGAGAAAGTGTTCTTATTTTTTCAATATCACCTCAAACAAGGCTTAAATGAAACAAAAACGGATTTCCAAAATTTCGTTTTTTTTTTCAAATATTTCGGAAACTAATCATGTTAACCTTGATTTCTTAGAGGCATAATGTTGGTCCCCTAATTATACAACTTTGCCCCCATTTAAGCTACTTCGTATCTCTTACCGTTTCCGAGATCCCTCTAGTGAGAAGCGAATTTGTAATAGCCTGTATAACATTATGACTGATCACTATTTAAATGAAAAGGATAAAGTAAAATTATATATAAATACTTTTGTAAAAAAGAATCTCAAATTTTGCACTTAGACTCAAATAACTTTTATTTTAGTTAAATTTGTCATTCTTTCAGGTTAAAAACTAAAAATTCACTACAGTTTCTAGACAGATATAATAAATTAATGTAACAATCGATTGCTTTTACAATTAATCCACTGAGATATTAAAAGTGACACTCTAGTCCTTGAAAATAAACACTAAAATAGAACTTTTAGTTCACGGAGTGCAAAAAAGTATATTACTTTTAACCAGCAAGTTTTCATAAAATTACATCATAATTGTTCTATATTAGTTAAATAGGTATATATTTTCACCAACAGTTATAATTTAACATGTTATATATTTTTAAATTAAGTCACAGTTAAGAGCGTACTGCATTGTGACGCAAAACATAATAGACCTTACGCTAGTATAATTATTTTAGTGGTATGTTGACATAAGTGGGTTTGGCCAAAAACGCGCTTATTTTCGTTGTAAATAACGCTAGAGGTTTTTCAGTAGCTACCAGTTGGACGAGAGAAGAAGAAGCGTGTACGGGCAGCTGGGAAGGGGTAAATGTACTTCCACCTCGAGAAAACAGTTCCTTTGAATAATGCGATATGTAGCAATAACTTGAATATTAACTATAGCGTGTAACAGCGACATTGTGACAAAGTATTATTTATCCATAAAATGATTTTTAAGGATTCAAAACTGCAGAACCGCAGAAAAAGATATTTGTTAATATTGCACATGCAACTGTTTGAGTACCGCCGACTTATTTAAAGTCTAGTGACGCCATTTACTCCCAGTTGTTATTATTTACTTCAATACCTGAAACCACCCGAAGAGATCGTCTTCTTATCGTTGGTATATGTTAAAAATTGGTGGATACGTTACTGAATAAGGCGAATGTCGACAACCTGCTGCGGGCGCATAATGCCGTTCTGTCCGCCCCCACAAAGCCTAATTCGAGAACAACAAGAGTGGATCAAAGAATCCAAGCTAAAACTAAGGAAGTGCAAGGTAAGCCAGTAGCTGGCAGCGACCAGTATATAGGCCACGCCATTAGTTTAAAGATTTTCACAAATATCATTAATGGACACGTTGAACAATAGCGGGCCAAGAACTGTACACTGGGGTACTCCAGGAGTAGTAACGATGTAAAACTACGATACCTACAGATCTTTCAATGATCTGTTATAAAGTTTTAAAAAGTCTATCGACACTCCAAAACTGTGATGTGTTATTCCCTAATAACTCCAGCAGTTCTAAATATGTTCGTATATTTCGATAAGCGTGTCGTAACAAACGAAGATTTGGATTCCTTTCGGTATCGAAGCGTTCTCTGAGTGTAAGTCGAGTCGCGAGCCGAGCGCGCGCTAGTCGAAGCCTATTGTTGCACTCGATGTCCTTGAACGATCGCGCGTATGGTCTCACTTGCACTTTCCAGCAACAGCGAAGCCGTGCTTGCGGAGGACGAGTCCAGTTACCAGGCCATCTTCAGAGAACAGGCGTCCTATCCTCGCTAGTTGCTGCTGGCTTTGTTGTTACCCTGGCAGAGCTGGGCCCTAGACGACCGCGATTCTCGGTCCTTGCTGCCGTACAACGCGACAGATACGGAGTAGGCGGAGACAGTAAGAGTTGTTGACCTCAGGTCAGCACAGACC